CTGCTAAGTTTATAATTTCTGTTTTTTTTTTATCCCTAGGATGTTTTGAATTTTTATGGAAAATGTTTTCTGTCATCTGTGTATTTTGCTTTCCATGCTGTTTCATGGAAAAGTCTTTAGTTTATGGCAAATTTGTCTACTTTCTTGAGATTCTTTTTTTTCTCCTTTGTTTTTTTTTTTTTCCCAAGACAGGGTTTCTCTGTGTAGCCCTGGCTGTCCTGGATCTTGTTCTGTAGACCAAACTGGCCTCAAACGCACGGTTCTATCTGCTTCTGCCTCCCAAGTTCTGGGATTATTGTTCTGTCTTTAGACTTTGAGCTCTTGATTTTTGTGTGCGGTGTGGATATGCTTTGGTTTTTGCTATTGTAAAGGCTGTTGAGTCACTGGAAACCTACTGTTTTTTTTTTTTAATGTCCCCTTTTCTCAGATGCTTATTTGCCAAATGCTTTTTTATTTGTGTTTGGATCCTGGCTGCCAGTCTCTTCACGCTCTGTGTGTCTGTCTCTGAGCCACTTGCACGCTTAGAAGAGTTTACTGCACACCTCCCTGGAACAGCTCACCCTGGCTGTATTACTCAACTTGTTTTCTTCACTATACAGCGATCCTCTTCACACCTCAGAGTGTCCTGTTTATTACAGGATTGAAAGGGCAAGAAATGATTTAGAACATTTGGCCTGTCGGTTGCCACCCATATATCTCTTCATGCATTCATTGCTTGTTTATTTGCATACTCTATGCCCTGTGATGACGGTGATCTTGTCTGACTCGTTTATTTTATTTACGTATTAACAAATGCATGCATGAAGGCCAGAGGTCAATGCTGGATACCTTCCTTGATCACACTTCACCATGTTGTTTTGAGTCAGGGTCTCTCACAGAGCCTGGAGTTGATTTGGCTTCTGATCCTCTTGTCTTTGCCTCCCCAGTGCTGGGATTTACAGCTGTGCCAGTGTCTTTCAGTGACATGGATTCTGGGAGGTCAAACTCAGGTCCTCATGCTTCTGTAGAGTACATTACGGCCTGAGCCATCTCCCCTGCCCTTCTCTGACATTTAAGGCATCTGCATCCCATGTGAGGGGACATTTGCAAGAAAATCGATGAATAAAGGAGTGGAAGGCAAGACTGACCAATGGCGTTTGCATTTTCAATTTTATTTTATATTTTCAGACCTGAATCAATTGTCAAAGATGTTAACGTTGTTTGTCACAGAAGCTCAGAGAGGACTCTCCCAACTGCTCATATTCCCACATACGCTTTGAGGTCCTTGTACCCCCCACATGTCTACATACATTCCTTAAGACAATTCATTCAGAAGGTTTTGTCTGCTCATAGGAATCCTTGAAGAAAGTTTCTTTTAGGGCAAAAAAAAAAAAAAATTCAGATTAGCCAGATGTAATTGCTGAGTATTTGGTTCAACAATGGTGTATATCAGGCCTCTTTGTTGAGTGTTTTTAACACAGAGACATTGAGAGTAAGAATGGAACGTCCAGAAAGAACACTGGATAGTCACAGCAACCTTACACAGCTGAGCTCGTGATCATTGCTGTATAGAAAAGCTATGTTTTCAGTGCATTGATCAATCGAATCAGAACACTTTGATGCAGAAGTGACCATTGGATAGAGACTTGGGCAGGCAAAGAGGAAAGGGCTTGGCAGAGGCTCTTAGGCAAAAGAAAATAGAAGAACTGCATGACTCACTATGTCACACTACAGTTTCCTTTTCTCTTTTTTCTCTTACATTTTATTGGGAGGGGTGCTGCAAGGGCAGAGGGCAGAAACAAAGGGACCAGGGATGGGAAATGAGTGGGATTGAGATGCCTGATGTGAAAGACACAAAGGATACATAAAAAGAAAGTTAAAAAATAACATAAGTATAAAACTAAAAAAAAAATAGCAGAAATAAATGAGAAGCCCCATTGTGACTGAGCTGGGAAGGAGGTAGAAGCTTAGACAAAAGGATAGAATAAAAAGAAAGACAAAAGGAACGATGGCAATAGCAGTGACACCGGGTGGACTCTGGAGTCATGGAACCCTAGGCCCATATGCTTGTTTTGCTTTTCTGTGCTGTTACCTGGAGTTTAACCACTTTCTCCTCAGCTACATCATCAGTAAAACCACACCCCATTGAGTGGATATTAGTGAAATGGTCCTTGGGGCATTAGACCCATCTGCTACAGGGATGGACGTTTAGGTCTGTTATGACCCCTCTGTGTTCGTTAGTTAGCTACTGTTCATGTCAATTTTTAAGAAAAGGGGGGAAAACCCACCACTGGCTTTAGTGATTCACAGCCTGAAACCAAGCAACAGTACCAAAAGGGAGATTGGTATTTTTTTGGTTACCTAGTAAGTCTGGTTTAGTTCAGTTAAAAACTACTTCTGGTGGGGGTGGGGGTGTTTGTGGAGACAGAGGCAGGCAGATCTCTGAGTTCAAAGTCAGCCTGGTCTACAGGATGAGTTCCAGGACAGCCAGGGCTACTCAGAGAAACCCTGTTGCAAAAATAAATAATAAATAAAGAAAGAAAGAAAACAGACCAAAACCTCTCTGAATGCATAGTTTGTAGAAGAAGCTAATGGTTAACAGATAATTTCCTAATAACGCAGGGGTATCCTGGGTGTGTGGATTGGGGAAGTGAAGGAGACGTGAGGTGTAGGAGATAGTCTCCATACGGTGAGGTGGAGGAGATAGTCTCTGTAGCACTGGGAAGGGCTGTGGAGTGAAGATATGTGGTCAGAAACCCTTGAGTAAGATGCTACAACGAGGGAGAAAGTATGCTATGGAATCTTCTGCCAAAGCCTGACTTTGATCCTTGGAAACCACGTGGAATGGATTCGCACACGCTGTCATACTGCCACATGCACACATGTGAACACACACATATATTTAACTAATAATTAGTAGGTAAATGTAGGCATTTTAAAAAGATGTCTTAAGGGGCTGATGTGATGGCTCAGGGAGAAAAAGCACTTGCTGCCAAGCCTGATGACATGAGTTCGAATCCCAGAACAGGTGGGATAGAAGACGGGAACTGACTTCTACAGGCTCTCCTCTCATGGTGCATGCACGTGTGCATGTACACACATACACAAGCACACATGCACACACACAACAAAAATGTAAATAAAAAGTTTTTCAAGTGGCTCAACATATTACTGTGTAGAAATCATCACGGAGAGTTTCTTTTACTTAGGAAGCACCACCTGCTCAGCTGCGTCAGCCCCTCCCTTATTGCTCATTCAAACCTTGCCTGTCTTTCAGGAACCTACTGATGTCTTCTGGAATTCTTCCCCCCTCAGTCCAACTTACAGGGATTCTTCTCCTTGTCATTTATCAGTGTTATCTGGGTGATAGAGCAGCTGTGTATTTATGGGATCATTGTGAAGACTTTACATAGGATCTCTGTGTGCCTGACATGAATTAGTATTTTACGTTAGTACTGTCTGTTTGTCAAATGAGCGAAACAATGTTGATGCATTGCTAAAGTCCACAGTTTCCTTTGACTTCCTGTGCCCCCCACTCCGTGTCCTTTTTCAAATCCAGGATGTGTACAGGGTACCACTCACTACATTGTCATTAATATCCGTACCACCTTCCCTCCCGTTAGTGGTGACTTCTTCTCGGGCTTTCTTGTTTTGGATGACTGACAGCACAGAGGATAAGTTGGGAATCTTGGAGAAAGTCCTCCTCTTAGTATTTGCCTTTTTTGCCCTTTGGAATAGACAAAGGTCATAGTTTGTGGGTTGGGACCACTGACCTCAAGTGCCTTGCCTTGACATCCCACCAAGGACACACACTGTCACAATGACTTTTCAGTGCTGATGCTATGTAACAATAATTACCTGACATTCGGTAGTTTGGCAGATCACCCCACCCCCCACAAAAAGATGCTCTCCGGCCCCTCCCCCGGCTCCTGCTGCATCCTTTGGAAGCAAGTTGCTATGTGCAACTTATGTGTAAGGACCAGATTAGCTACATAATTATTTGGAATTCTTTTTCATGGAAAATGGGCTGCTCTCCCCTGCTTGTTTATTCAGTGTTCTATTTACATCAGCATGGACTTGTGGATATTTACTTTATACACTGAGTTATAATCTAATACTTCTTTATTTATTTTATTGTTCAAATTGTTCCAGTGTTGGTTACTGACGCCTATATACTTTTGACATACTTCATTTTGTGTGTGTGTGTGTGTGTGTGTGTGTGTGTGTGTGTACAACATAAATCCCAGGCTTATCTTACGGATTTTCTGACCAGGTCTCAGAATCAACCATTTTTTCTAAGGAACTCTGATTCCTTGTATTGGAGGTGGGATTAGAAACCAAGATCCGGACACTTTGTCTGCATTGTCAATGGATGGTCACTGCCAGGATGCTCTGACCTTGGGCCCTCTTAGCTGTCGGAGTGAGGGAGTCAATGGATGTCCATTATGTTCACTCGTATACATACATATAAAAATTCCCACATGTGTGCCTTTATTGAATTAAATCTGGGTATGTACTGATATGTCCATGTCTCAAGCATTGTCACATAGATCTCTTCGAGGAAACCTAAAAAAAAAAAGTAAACTACAAAGTTCTGCATATCACTTCAAATCTAGTGGAACAAGATAAATGTTGAACTTATACAGCTTTAAAAACAGGTTAAAGTTATTGATCTTTTTGTTTTAATGTTGGAACTAATGCTGATAATATGAAAATATTAGATGACATCATAAATATAAATTTTATTTTGTTGTTATTGTTTGGTATTTGCCTCAGTAATATATTGCTACCTGTGTATAGTTTTGTTGATTTTAATTCCAGGAGTGAGTGCATAGTCTAATAGAATTGGAAAATTCTTGCATTAGATAATCCCTGGGTCTATTGAAGTATTAAATATAGAAATAAACATTGCAAGAATTCCAAATTATCTAGGAAGATCGTGTTCACGTGTGTTGGTGAAATCTGCATTACTCATTTCTTTTCTTCTCTTTCTGTTTCCTTGCATTATTGGTGGGCTGCAGACTTCAGATCCAACTCCATCTTCCGAAATGATCCCGATGCCCAGAATGCCCCTGGTGCTGCTCCTGCTCTTGCCCATCCTGGGTTCTGCAAAAGCTCAGGTTAATCCAGGTAACACAGCCACTACTCAGTTGGAAGCTGAATCCCAGGTGCCTGCCCATGCCTGTCAGTGGTCATCTCAGAAAGAGATCTGTCAAGGGAACCCACAGTGTCAGTTTTCACCTGCGTGGTGAAACGTGGCCAAGTCGGAAACAGAAAGTCGTGTCCGTTCCCTGTCCATATAGAAGGTGCTGGGTATTCTACAAGAGGTGTTATGTAGATCAGAACAGTTTTAATGCCTTTTTGTTTAAATGGGAGAAGAAATGGCTATTTTCTGCTGTGCCTTTTGGGAGAAATGGGAGAGAACTTTTAGATGCGCAAGGAGCTTCTTTGGATGAGCTTATCCATTGGATGCAAGGCCCGGGTTTTACTTGACCATCTGCTATACTTTTGGAACACTAAGTCTGTGGGATGCCAGGTTCCCAGGATCCCACGTAGTCTCCCTTTCTCACAGGATGTGAGATGAATCTTTTAAGTCAGTGTGTGTGTGTGTGTGTGTGTGTGTGTGGTGTTCTAGTTGGTTTATCTTTTAGCTTTAACCTAAAGTATATAATTGTGCCATTTGTGTGTTGCACAATAATGTTGCTCAACATCTTCAATAGCTCAGTGACTAAAATGAGTGTTTATTTTGCGCACAAGCTTATAGCTTGATGGTTTCTGCTGTGCTTGGTCAGACTGTACTTTGAGCTGTCTTAGTACGTTTACCTATCTGGGAGGCAGTTGGTTATTGATGCGTCTAGGAATGCCTTGGCCCTGAGGAAGGGCAGTTTGGCTGTGGCTCTGTAGATTCCTCTAGCAGACTAGCCTGGTTATGTTTTCATGGAAGTTGCACAAGAGCATGATTGGAAGCAAGCATGTGCAAATAATCTTTCAGCCCTCTGTTCAGGTTGTTTGTTAAGAACATATTGGTGGGATGAGGGCTGTAGCTTGGTAGCGCTTGTCCGCTAAGCCCCTGTTTCAACTCTCAGTATTTTAGGGGTGATCCTCATTGGTCAAAACAAGCCATATAGCTATGCCCAGAGTCTGTAAGAACAAAAAATGTACACAGTAAAGAGAAAGGTAAAGATTTTAAGTCCATATTTTAATTCTTTGACAAATATAAACAAATAAAACTACATATACCTTATGTGTTCAATTTGATAGATTTTTTTTTTTACAAACCTAACATATTCATTCAGACATGTCTAACCTGAAGCAGAGAGTAGTTTGAATGTGGGCTAACACAAAAGTGTACATATATAAAACATGAGATTTTTTTATGTGATCTTTTTGATTGTGTTACTCTTGAATGTGAACTTTGGAGATGATGACATTGTATGACAATATCAAGAGGTTGGCAGTGAGCTACACTTTAATATATAAGAAACAGAGGCATCATGGAGTTCTTTCTTCTACCCCACCCCGGTGACATCCATTATGTTGCTTTCTAGCAAGAAAGACTCGTTGCCTGTTTGTACTTTATATCAACAGAGGCATACGATATATGGATGCTACACCCAGCTTCTTTAAACGAACATTTTCTTTATTGCGTTTGTTCCATGGCCACATGCCGTGGTTGATGGCCCATCCTTGCTGTTGTATATTATTACTTTGTTTGTGCTCTTCATTTACACCGCCTACTATCGATGGGGACTTGGATAGTTTAAAGTTTGGGCTTGTTGTGTAAAAAAATCTTGCATATTCTTGCATAGAGTTTGTGGTAAGGATATATACTCAATTTTCTTGAGTTTATGTTCAGAAGTGGAATTCCTGGGCCACTTGTAACATGTTATTTAATGTTCTTCATAATGCCATAGAGTCTTCCAAAGGGATTTTTACCCACTTAGCATCCCACAATAGTATGTAGAGCTCCATTTTTCAGCTAGCTATAATTACATTCTCAAGAGTGCATTCATTTTGTCTTTTTACCAGTATAATGGTACACTTGAGAGAGTACCTCCCCCACCAATACCCTGTTCACAGACTATTCTTTATTCCCTTAATAGGAAACATGGTCAAAACTCCTTTAAAAAAAAAAATCTAAGAATTGTTGGTTGAGAGAATTCAATGTTTTTTTCCATTATTGTGGGGGTCCCTCAGATCTCAATGTGGACACCTTTTTTTGTTTTTATGCCTTGTATCCCTCCTACCCTGTAAAGTTAGGTCATCTCCCACGATGGTTTTTCGGCTCTGAGCTCCAAGGGAGAGGGCGAAGAGTGCACATGAGGCTGAGGTGCTTGGTGTCATCACGGAGGCTGGTATCCTGGAGGGGCACTTAAGCAATCGAACCAGGAAAACCAGCTTCCAGTGTTAGAAAACGAGCTGTAGTCCTTGAACAGGAGGCAGGCTGCGCGAAGGCAATCTTACTCCCTGCTCTCTTGTTAGGTATTTCTGTTGGCCCTTGCCACCAGCACAAAAAACAGGTATCTCAACTTCAAAAGGTTTTTCTAGGAGCGTGGTACATACCAAAGGAACAGCCCTTCTCTCTGCCTCCACTTCTGTTTCATCAAGTTAAACTGGAAGCAGAGATGTGAAAGCGGACAAGAAATTTCCATTTCTCCTCAGTGGTAAATGCTATATGGCCAACTATTAACAGAACTAGGTTTAAGGACATGTTAGAAGGTGTCTGGAATCCTATCCTGTCAGTCACAAGCCAAAAATTCATTTAATGATTGTTAAAAAAAATGAACCTGAACTCGACAACCCAAATAACAATTTGAAAAGTTAAACATTCTAACATAATACTAGCCAAAGATACACTAATTTGATACATATACACAGAGGACTGATGGGAAAACGGTAAGGCTCCTTCCATAATTAAATCATTATGTTTCTACAAGGGCAGAAATGTTTGCAATGCGGTAAAGACACTGAAGCCCATAATATACGATAGTCTGGAATCTGAGCTCTGTGATTTAGGCAGAGTTTGTGGGCACTGGGGTCCTGACATTGTGCTTAGTGCTAAGTGCATGTGTTGTGGGCTAAGAAGCAAGGTTCCAGAGATGATGCACGGTGTGACAGGGGTGAGCCCTGCCAGAAACACACAGGTGCTATGCATTTGATTTTGCAATAATTGATCTTTGTCATTGCACTTTCAAAACCCCTTTATTGCTGCCAATACTTTGACAATTCCCATATTCAGTTACACCTCCTCCTCCAATCTGAGATTGTGACCCACTGTCTAAGGCACTGGGCTCTAAAGCAGCTGAGTTTTGGCAAAGGACTTGGCAAGCTGAGCGACGCCACTGACATTTCCAGAGATGGCAATGTTCAAAGCGGCCAGAGGGGCTGCAGGGTAGGGCTGTGGAAGTCTCCGTAAGAAATACTGAGATGTAGTATGTTCCTGCCCTGCAGGATGGGCGGGGTGTGCTAGCAACCATTCAGTTCCAGCTGTGCACGAGGATCCCAATTGTAACAATTGCCAAGCTGAGGGAGGAAGTACTGGAAGGAGCGAGGGCAGCATCTTACAGCAGAATCATAATTCAGAAGCTGGCTCGTGGCAATCCACACCTAGTAAACAACTATACTAACAAATTTGCAAAACTCATTTTTACAAGTCAGCAATTTGAGTGGGATTGTAAAATTCTGGTGAATGATTTAAAGTTAATTTAGAAAAATACTTAGCTTTATCATTCAGTCATTCATTATTTACTTATTTGTTTATAGCTGTAAGTTAATTAAATTTGAGGATCAACTTGAAGACAAAGACTAGCATAAGACTAAAAGGAAGACACAGAGCTCAGACATGGGACTTTGGTCTCTTCATTGTGCTAAATGAAAAAGTTCTGAGGTAGAAGTTCTTCAGGGCCATTTTACCTTGGCAAAGAAACTGAGGCATTGGGGATGTTTGGGGTCCCTTCAGTACCAAGTTGTCACCTGATTCCAAATTCCTTCACTTCCACCAAGGCTGATGCATGTTGTTTCTTCTATATGTTTCCAAAATGAAAAATTATTTTCCATTCCCTGTGCCCCCACTATTCATGTCTTGAGAGAAATGCTGAGAATTTAACTAAAGGTCTCTCTCTCTCTCTCTCTCTCTCTCTCTCTCTCTCTCTTCCTCTCTCCCTGATGATTGGAATAGAGTCCTTGGAGGAAGGGATATAAAAAGCAAGAAGGAGATGCCCAGGATAAATTTCTCTCAAGTGAACAATGCTAGAGGGGCTTTTTTCCCCCTTGCAAGCTTGTTTGTCAAGTCTAGCCTTGGGTGGCCTCTTATATCCTTCCTTCCAATATAAGAATCTTCTTGTGGGGATAGCAGAAACTCAACTGCCCCTAGCACTCTCTTGAGTATACTAAGAAGGGGAAAAGAGACTGTAAACTGCAGAGCTCAACAAAAGCACCAACTGTTATTCAAAGCCCATGGTGTAAACTCCTAGTACCATTTGAAGTGGTGTTAACAATGCAGTCTTCATAGTAGATGATGAGGATGCAGTATTACTCCAGGTTTTGTTTGTTTGTTTGTTTGTTTGTTTTCCCCAAGACAGGGTTTCCATGTAGCTTTGGAGCCTGTCCTGGAACTAGCTCTTGTAGACCAGGCTGGCCTCGAACTCACAGAGATCCACCTGTCTCTGCTTCCTGAGTGCTGGGATTAAAGGCATGCACTACCACTGCCTGGCCATTACTCCAGTTTTACAGAGAAGGGATGAAGGACCACAAATATTAGTTGATAACTGAAGTTATAGGCAAAGCAGCATAGCCTGGATGGAATTCCATCTAGTGCTAGCAAGATGATAGACCTTGACCTCCAAGCTCCACTGCTTCCTGCAGACAGTGAGACCACAGAGGATCAATGCAGAGGAGCCTATACACAGAGGAGCCAGCTGTGAGGGCATGGATACTAGGGCCTGGGAAGTTGAATCTCAGGCTTGATTTGCGGAGGCAAAAGTGCATTTTGAAAAAAAGAAAAAAAGGTTCTCTGTTACTGGATGTTTAAAGGACTCTGTGGCCAGTTCTGGGAAAGCTCAAGAAAAATTGGTTTCATCTAGCCTTTTGAAAATGAGGAAACCGAGAGTTGAGGCTGTGCCGTTTCTGTG